ACCTTTTTATTTCCTTTCAAAAGTAAGAGAATATCAAAATCTCGAGCTCTGAAACGTCAACATGCCGGAATCGATCACTCCTGATCCCTTTTTTCCTTGAACTAGCAGATGTTATAAAAAGGTGCCAGTTTTAATTTCGAATCAATACCGAGAAAAATCAAGCTTTCGGTGTAAAATAGTCCCCTAGTAGCAGTGTCAATAGGAGTGTTCAACTGATAAGAAAGATAACAGATTACAACCCGGGTTTTGTGTTGAAAGCGGAACAAAACATCCATGGCTTTTCTCTTTCTCTCCCTGCGGTTTCGCAACTCCACCCTCTTGTCATAGCCGGATATCTACCCTATCTGCAGACCAACCAGTTTTATCTTAGATACTTCATAAACACCTTTCTTAAAAAACACAGTTATTTAAAAAATCGGGCAAAGAAACAAGTTTCGATGCGTTTTCCTAGGGGTTACATCTGGATCAATATTGCCAACCTTGCTCTCGTTATCCTTCTGCGTGTGTCGAGGGGGTGAATTGTTAAGCAGTATTTCCATTTTCTGATCATGCGAAATTAGCATAAACGTTACGTTTCACCTCACGTGTTTATTTTTCATTTTGTAAAAGGACACGCGCCCTCGTTACTGCGCACGGCCGATTATTCCATCCCCTTTTGAAGGATTTGAATTTTTAATAGCCTGCAAACGATTCAAAAGGAATTACTGATTGAAAGGGACACCGATTTCCATATGGCAAACCGAAATAATTTGTAAAAGGCCTTACCCGGTGATTTTTTAAGAGAAATTTCGGGAGGTTTCTCACGTTTTTATTGATCCCAAATGGACGCGGATCCCATTGTATCGCTGGGCAGAATCCTTTTAAGGGGTGATATATTTTGATAACGTGAGATGGCTTTTGTGTCTTGTATTAAATTAGAAATATGAAGAGGGGAAGTTTAGAACTTTCCAAGGACATGACTTCGGACTTCAATGACAAATGGGTATACAGGGTGCAACAAAAATTCGCAACAAAACTCCTTTTTTTGACATAAAAATTATTTGTAGATTTGGCTGAACGTATTTATTCAGGCTTGAGCGGTTTTAAATGTCAAATTATTGATTGAGTGGTGGTTTCATAAAAATTTTTCATGTGTCATATGCAGCCAAGCATCGGTTTTGCGGTGTCCAACTATTGTGATATCTATGCATCACAGTGTCATAAATCAAACTAATCTCTCAGCGAGGACGCAAAATGGCCTGCACATTTTGGCAACAATTCAACTCTTGAACTTTTTCAAAAACGTCCCGGAAGTGTAAATCTGATTCAGCCAAGTTATTACGAATAAAAATATGAAAACAGATGTAAATTGATTGAACTGAATGACCCTATTTTTGGTAATATGATTTACATATGGAGCTAGTCGACCAGGTAGACGAGTATGTCGCCACCTATCTTTTGCATACATTTCGCCAATGACGTAAGATTACTCTTGACATGGTTCGCCCATTGTACAACATTGAATATTCGGGTTATGTCATAACAAATAAAGACCGGTCTGCACGTCGTGAAAGCACTTTTTACACAATTTCGAAAAGAATAATCTTTATTGACGGCATAGCAGAGATTCTCGTCCTTGGGAGGAAATTGCGATGGGTATCGCAGACCTTGGCGGCTTGGATTTTCTCCACTCTTCGTATTTCGATTCGCTATACAAGACACTAAAGACGCTCATTGCATTACAACATGCATCAGCTGCTTTATTAAATATCACTTTCCAAGCAAATTTTCACACACATGCACAGATTTAAGTTTAAAAAAAGGAATTAAATTAAATTCAACTGGAAAATTGAATAAAACAATTTTTTTTTGAAATTAAAAGGTTTCTCTTTAATTGCAAGTGTTTTCTTAGTTTTGAGAATATTTTTTACAGATTTAGAAATGATAGAAAGAAAATTACTACCAGAAAATTAGTTAACTTAAATTGGAAATAATTATTTTGGATTTTTTTTGGACAAACTGAAACTTTTTCGTGTTATTTAGAGTGATTTTTCTAAAAATTAATATCTCATGTTATTTATTCTACTTAATTATTTCATACCTTATATAGATGGATTTTGTTAAACGTTTTTGAATTTTTTTTGTCTTTTTACATTAAAAAACTTATGCCTAATAATAATTTTGTAAATTTTCGCTTTTTAAATAACATTCTTATTTAGAGTGGTGTTTAAAAAAATGCACTCATGATTTGTTAAGTTTGAAATCACCTTAGCCGAATTATTCGTACGATTATTTAAAAAAAAATTATTCAATGCCAAAGAAGAAAATGAAGTCTTTATTACTCGATAATGACTGCAAAAAAATTAACAAAAATTATGAAATGTCATCTCAGCTGAATCTTCTACTCGATGCATCTTATTAAGTAAATAAATTTAAATAATATTTATCCTACATTTTTGGCACAACTTTATGTTTGCTCCTTCCGCGTTGCTCCTTTTCTCTCTAGTCACCAGTTTATTTTGACAATGAAGTGATGCAACCGGTCGAATTTTGTATGAAAAAGGGGTTCGCACCTGGAAAAATTTATGCATACGCTTTCGCCTTATTTTTAGAGTCGAGCCTTACTCGCATTTTCAATTAACGTATTAACAACTATTATGAAAGTGTGTCGCGTTTAAAAATGTCATTGTATTTATTAGTAAGATTAGTAGCATACAGTTGCGTGTGCCTTATTGCTTAAAAAAAAATACATGTAATACTAGATATCGCAGTGTGGGTTTGGACGCGATTTAGACTGCTCCCGCAATGCATTTTTTTCTAATTAACGAGAAAAGATACTTTGGACACATGGCACCCACACGTAGGCCATCTACCTCTCGATTCTTTGACACAAATGTGCTCGTCTTCCGGAGTCTATTTTCATTCGAAGTGGGCTTTGAAGATACGACTAACAATTTTAATTTTAACAGTGATGCAATTAAGGTTTCCATCATTGATGAAGTGTTGGACAATGTATTTAGGGTCTTGGATGAGTCAAATGTGACTTGAAGATGATACTATTATTACTAGGTGGCATTTACCCTAGAGATATTTCTAGACGGCAGAGCTAGACGAATAAAATGAAATGAGAGTGCAATGTAATCGGTTGGATGTCGGCCAGAGTTGTGACATTTTCTGAGCGGGTGCATTCCCTGCTGAGTCTAACATCTGATCTGGCTCTTTATGGTCTGTCTTTCTTTCCGTTCATCATAACGAATTAGATTACCTCGAGGCGCTTAATTCGATACTGCGATTAGTTATTTAATTAGGCAATAAATTGCTTCAACCGGTTGCTCGAAAAAAAGACAAATTGTTCAGATACCTCTTGAGTTTTTCATTATAAAGCCTTGTACGGCACGCCGATAAATGACATTTTCGAGTGTCGTTAAAAAAGTATACAAAAGTATTTACATAGACAGTGGCGGTAGGTAGGCTTGTCGACAAAAAGTCGGATTTACGACTTCCAGACGTTTATCCAAATGAAAAGGGAGTCGTTGTGTCGGTTTTAATGCCTCAAAACTATCCTCGATAAAGCCATCGAATCATTGCGAAACAATTTCATATTTAATTATTGTACACGGTTAAAAACGTCGAGTTCTCTATTGTGTCTTTGTGGTTTTCAAGAGATAAATTCTTTAAAACTGGCCTTTCAGTTCGAAGAGTGGTTCACAATAAATCCCCGACCTTACCTGGACTGGACTGATGCTATTCCATTCTTACAAACCAAGGTTATCCTCGTATACCTGGCCAACGCACCCGTTGCCGTTTGTTATTTAAAGACCGATACAACTTTCTGCACAACTTGTACACAAATAAAGAAACAAGAGAGAGGTTCACTTGATTAGTTCAACGCCACCGGAATGATACATTTATCGGGATTCTTAGCAGGGGCCGACGAATTAGACCAAAAAGACAACGCGAACCCCAGGCAGACTTGCAGGAATCCGAAGAGCGATGACTTGGAAACGGTTTTTGCCAAACACCATCTCACACAACAAAGAAACAGCATAAACACCCCATACCAAAGCAGTAAAAGGGTGGAAAGAAAACAAGACAATGAGCCTTTTAGAGCAGTTTCAGAACCTTTCTTTACTTTATTTTTATGTTAAACGTGATTATAAAATTTTGTGTTCTAAACACCTATGAGAACACAAAATAACTTATTTTCACGAAGTAGTTAATCATTGATGAAGGCAAACCAAAAAAAAATCGTATACGGCGTAGCGTTGCAATTTGTCTATCAAATGTGGAGTTTGGTGCGAATTTACAAAAAAAATTGAACTTGGAATGGAGTCTAAAGTTGCAATGAAAGATTTTGAATAGGGGTTGCAAAGTAAATGCATCCATCTACAGCAGCGCTCTCCAACTTTTCTTAGTCTTAGTCGTTTACAAATATTTCGGAGGCTAACATGGGTAGATAGTTACGTTAGAAAAATTTTTTGAAGAAAATCCAACAAAATTGCTTAGGGGGTCGCAAAATAGTTCGTGGCAGCAATTCGGCAGGTGCGACCAAGTTGAAACAAAATGGTTCCAAAATATTCTACTAATAGCTATCTCTTTTTTATTTTTTGGATCGTATGGTTTAAAAACTAGAGATATAGTATTTAGAGAGAGAGTATCCAAGTGCATTCTAAGAGATTCGTGGAGGTTGTTATCTGTGATAGTAAGTTTTTGTGGGTCATATAATGGTTTCGTTGCTGTTTTTGCATAAGTATTTTTCGTGTGTAATAGTCTGCAAGCATCGGCAATGTTGGCATCCGGGAAACAGCCTCAGTAGGATTGAGCTTTCGCACTCCGTCTGTCTAGTTGAGCGCCCGCGCACAAGGTGAATGCGAGTGACCTGTCGGCAGGTTGAAGGGCGTCGCCAGCAGCAGCTTTGTCTGCGCGTTCCTCCGATCAGGCTCGGCCGATCCTCCGATCATATTAATTATGTTATTCCCCTCGTAAAGCTCCATCTTTAATTTTTTCCATTTTTGTTTCAGGTTGCAAGATCAAGGCTCTCCGGGCTAAAACCAACACATACATAAAGACTCCAGTCCGCGGCGAAGAACCCGTTTTCGTGGTAACCGGGCGGAAAGAAGACGTTGCCAAAGCCAAACGCGAGATTCTCTCAGCGGCCGAACACTTCTCCCAAATCCGCGCTTCCCGAAAGAACAACTTGGCCGGTCTCGGATCGGGCGCGAGCACTCCTCCGGGCCCCCCGGCCAACATCCCCGGCCACGTGACGATCCAGGTGCGCGTGCCGTACCGCGTCGTGGGGCTTGTAGTCGGTCCCAAGGGCGCCACCATCAAGCGCATTCAGCACCAGACGCACACCTACATCGTGACCCCCAGCCGCGACAAGGAGCCCGTCTTCGAGGTGACGGGCCTGCCCGAGAGCGTGGAGTCGGCACGGCGTGAGATCGAGGCCCACATTGCCATGCGCACCGGCAACGGCGCCTCCATGGGTCTGGGGGGACTCGATGACGGCGACCTCTTCTCCTCGCTGTACAAGTCCGGCTTGAGTTCCATTCTCAACTACATCGAGCCTGAGCAGTTCCCCATGACCGGCTCCAGCACGTTCTCGTCGTCGGGGTCATGCTCCAGCAGCTCGTCGAGCAGCGGCGGCCGCGATCTGGGCGCCATCTGGAGTAGCAGCGAACGCGACGAGGGCCTCGGGGACTCCCCAAGCTTCGACAGTTCGACGGCATTGTCGAGTATCTGGTCGTATCCGCCAGTGGCGCCTTCACGGCCCTCCAACAGCACCAGCCCCGCGGATTCGTTGCTCGGCTCGGCCAAGTGCCTCGTCTGCGGCGAGGCGAAGGTCACGCACGCGTTGGTGCCCTGCGGACACAACTTCTTCTGCATGGAGTGCGCGAATCGCGTCTGCGACGGCACGGAGGCCCAGTGCCCCGTCTGCTCCTTGCCCGCCATCCAGGCCATCCGCATCTACTCGCCCAACCCTTAAATCGATCAATCCCACCACATTCCCGCGCCCTGTGTTCAGATTCGGTCGGGTTCGCGCCCTTCGCTTCGCACGTCGCATACAACGAACGCTTGGTTTATTTTTTCATAGGATTATTTTTTCAGTTTTTTCGGTTGTGCGGCGCGCAGGGGGCCAACTCGCCGAAACGTAGTCATCATATGCCAGTTACTATTTTTCTTAACGTCACCGTTTTTCTAGTATTAGACCTAAGATTGGTTGGTTTTTATTATTTTGTATTTTTTATGTGTATGCACTTACGGAATAACCTCTCGACTCCGTTAAATACCCTAGATTTGAAAAGACATGACGCGACACTAATAAACGTAAATGTAAATTTTTATACTATTGATAAGTGGTTCGTTATTTTTTAAATATATTTTTTTAAGTTTCGCCATGTGACAAGTCACATTATTAAAGTCTGAATCAGCAATTCTCAAAATATTATTTAAGTGTATATTTAAAGTTTAAAAATAATATATAAAAGTAAAAAAGGCAAAAAATATATATTATTATTGAAAAAAGTGAGAAAGGACAGGAGAATGTATTAGAAGGAGTTTGGTAATAAAAAGTGTGCAGGCAGGGCTTGGGGGCCTTTCGGCTGTGATCTGAACTGCCACACGGCGTGTCGGCGTTGACGTCTCGCCGGGCCAGTTGCACCCCTAATAACGACATACATATCCCTTATTGTTAGTTAATCACTCATTGTTGCTATTGTTCTGTTATGTCATGTGATGTGATACATATATTTCTATATTTCTGATAGCTTATAAGTTATGAGAGTATTTTGTATAATATAATAATAATTATAAATGAAGAAGAAGAGTATAAATGATTTACGTGTGCAGTCCGGTGTACGACGCCCACGCCGCCGCTGATAGTTGTCATACTGTCCATGTCCACAGCCACTGTAGTCTTGTATAGGGTCATCGTGCACCGTCATTTCACATTTTTGTGAACAAAAAATCATCGCCGTCACATCAAACTTTGTGCGGCCCCCACCTGCGATCTCGTGCCTCGATCCTTCAGTATTCACACGTCATTTGCCGCCCCCGGCCTCCTTTGATTTTCATATGCATTTCTTCCTGCGCCCTGCACCCCCCCCCACTACCCGTTAGGTACACTGTTCACTGTTCGACCGGCCCACACCGACCGCCCTAGCTTTACTTATTATTATTATTAATATATATGTATTATTATTATTATATATATTTAAATACTAAGATGCTATATTTTGTTTTTATTTATTTTTTTATTGTAGTATTTTGAAAATTATCGTTATTAGATAAATTTTATATATTTTATTATTATTATTATTATTGCCCTTATGCGGTTCCGGTGAGTCGGTCTGGGCCGGTTGGTAAGCGCGGGTGTCCCCCCCGACGACTTAGTTTGTTTATACGTACACTTGTAAATAAGTTGTTGTTTTATAGCTATTAATACCATATTATTATTACAATTATTATTATTTTATTTTTTTACATATTTTTGCGGAGATATTTAAATATGAATGTTAGTACAAGTACATGGCCACAGTTGTGTGCAGAGTGACTGTTTGAAATAGTTTAATTAGTTTTTGATTGAATTATATTTATATTGATATTTTAATTATATGAAACAATCCTCGAAGTGATTTCTTTTGTAATTTTTTATTGATTTTTGAATATGAAATGTATAAGTGTGTTTTCTATTTAGAAATTTATAAATTAGTACGATTTTTATTCAAAGCGACTGACCTACGCTTAAGGAAAATTCGCTTATTTTGGTCGTCGTCGTCTAGTGGACAACTAAAGGCTGGGTGTGGTATTCGTATATATTATTTAAATAAAAGAAACTATATTAACCTTTTTATAAGACTAAACCACGCTCGCAACTTTGGTTGATCCTTAGAAACCTAGCAAATGTTATTTAAGGTAATATTTTTTTTATAAATTAATGCTACCAAATATCGTAATAAATTTCGTGATTTATATTTTATTTTGTTTTTATTTATTTTTTCGTTGTGTATTATTTTTCGGACTCGTAGGCCACCACCGCTATGTTGTGTTCCCCGCATGATCATTTGTGTCGTTTGGTGTTGTTCATCTTTTGCATGTTAGTGAGTACTGTAGAGTCTAGAAGTAGCTCACGAGGCACAATTTAACAATTATAATATACAACATTTTATTATAGAAGAAATCGCGTTTTATATTTTAATAATCTTATAATCGCATATAAAAATATTTTAGTACGCGTGAACGTAGATGTAGCAACTTTAAATGACATTTAACGAGTTGTGTATAATAATCTGCTCAAAAGAAATGAAGGAAATTTGAAGCTACGATAACTTTTCGGGACGCAGAACAACGCCTCTTTAGCTGGTTTTTCGCGATTAGGTAATATGAATTGTGCTTAGGATTGATTCAGGCGTTTGTTCTCTTGGGCACGACTTTTAAAGGTGCTGCAGCAACCGATGGTTTTAATAAAAGTCTTCCCGCCCGGAAATCATCCAAACTTTTTAGATAAAAATTTGAAAGTTACGTTGGAATTTTTTTTCACGTTTTCTCCTACGTGTAAGACTTGGGTATATTCAAATTTAGATAGGCTAATTGGCATTTTTCATCGCTGTGTTTTGATGTGTTTTCATGTGTATTTGAATAATACGAGAGTTGGCGGTCGGCAAGCCCGATTTTTACCGATTTTAGACGCTTGAAAATGGGCTTTTCCGATCGCTCAGCTTTGTTGCTGCAATAATATTATTATTAGGTATGTTTATCTGCATATTCATCATGTGCCGCTCTCGGGCGGTTCCATCGTTCACAATTTGACTGCGACACATATAAATTGCAAATCACTCTGTATATTAGCATATTTTTAAACACTTAATATACAGGCCTAACTACGATATTTAAGTAATAATATCTATATTTCATAATTATTATATATAAAAGTAATTTTTGAAATAGAAATAAGAAAAAATACATATAGATGTTTTTAGAAAAAAATTAATAAAAAATAAACAAAACGGTATTTATATTGTAATATGAAGTAAATGAAAAATATTTATTATAAGATATATCTTTTTGTAGCCTCCTGTAAGACATTAGCTTGGGGTCGCAGGTTCAACTGTTACGTGATTTCATCGGGTTGTCAAATTTTATTATCTCAGAAAAAAACCAAATTCGTGGTCCTGCAGTTTTCTTTAGTGACCACTGACCATAAATACCGCACAAATGACGCGCTTTTATAGCTTTCGATTCAGTAGAGAAAGCTTGAAACATTCCCAGCTATCAAAACGCATCATTTTCGTAGGTTTGAAAAAATTGTGATTACATTTTCAGTATTGTCAATGTCTTTGTCAAAAGCCAATAAATCATTATTACCACAAGTGGCATTTTCATTTCTTCGTTCGAAAATTGCAGGAAAAGTCCCTTACAGCCCCATGATGTCATAATGATATCAAAATTTTGTCTTCTAAGGTAACTCAAAGCAATAAGGTAACGAAATAACTAGTTTAAAGCTATCTATTTATCTACTTTTTAATAACTTAGCTTAGAGTAGAGCGTTACAAAGCCGTACAGGAGCAACTTACGACCCAGGCTGTCACCCGCTCAGCATTTATAATAAATATATAACTATATACTAAAATTATAGCTGCAAAATGTTAAAGTATTTCTATATTATTGAATGTGTGCGAGTTGTTTGGACGTACTTTTAACCTGTTTATGTCCTTTTTCTAAAGTTTTCGTTGATCCAAAATGGACTTTATCGCTGTTGGTCGCAACTCCCATCGAATGGTGTAAAAATTCAAGCACAAGTTTTGTTGATGAGCGTACATAATACGTTTTGTTTGTACAATTACACAATTACATTCCATATTGTATAAAGCTGCCGATAACAGAAAGGCGAGCTGATTAAGAATATACCGAGCACAATAATTTGATCATATCAAAGCTTCACTGTGATTCGTAAGACTGACTTAAATGTTATTTCGGGATAATAGAAAATTTTTAAAAAGTCTCCTATACTTTATACGATTATTTCGATTGGTTGTTTTAGTTTTTCACACCTACAGCGATAAAGTGTTTGAGAAAAAAATATAAAAAAAAATAAGTGTGAAGTGTGCATATTTTTCCAGTTAAAAATCATAGAAGAAATATTTAGATACGGTTTCTATCACGATGATACGTATACCATTGGAGTTATTGTAGTGTACTAGACGCTAAATTGCTTTTGTCAAATTGTGTTATCGTTGTTGCTTTAGTTTTCTCAGAAATTCCATACTCAAAATAGCAACGGCACATTGAAGTAACTAACAATAATAACTATATATTGGGGATCATTCGTCACAAACATCGATAAAACAATGGATTCTAAAAAGTTTTCTATTTATTATTGTAATTCTGGTGCCAAAGTGTCAAGTTACTACATTGTTGTGTCAGTATAACTCGTTATCGTCGACTTCCAGAGCAATAATTTCGTAGGACGTCTGTCGATTAGAAATGCCGCAACCACCAAATTTCCTGTTATACTGCATAACAATAAATTTAATAATGATAATTCTCGGTGACCAATAACTTCTTGTTCTTATTTCATCCTCAGCCGACGTTTCGTACCTCAGGAACGGACAATTACGCAATAAAAAGACAGTAACATCGATTTCAGAGGTACGTCACGTTTCGATCAGTGTTTCTTGTATTTTGCATATCCAACATAGAAAGTAGTCTAACATCAGGGTTTCATTAATACGTAGTCTCTTGCATGAGAATCAACTTTAATTATTTTCCATTCCTAAGAAATAATGCGCACCATGTAATCACACCAATAATCGTGTTATATCCCTGTAGCAGCTTGGAAATTTATATATTTTCGTATTAAACGATGTTTTAAAGTGCGTCAAGATAATCTATCCAAAAACACATAAAATTTGTATAAAGGAATCTTTTGTATCCGATGTCGTCTGTATTTCAGATTAGCGTTTCCGTTTCGTCTTGTTTTCACTAATCTGAATTACAGGACTTTTATGGCCTTGGCGTTTCTCGATAACATTTTGCTTACCTGAAGTATACTGAAAATTGATATTTTTCCAGGAGATATTTTTTATTCATTATTTTGTATTAATATTCAGAGTTCCACTGAACGTGTTCTCGATGTGAAATATTTTATATCTGAGTGTTCATGGTGTGTATTCCCATGAGTTGTGCACGTCTAAGTGATACCGGGGATTGGTAACTTCGGTAACAATTAGACGGAAAATTGGTTGTTAATTGTGAGGATGTCAATAAGAATTAAAAAGTGGATGTAAGAATGTTTCCTGATCATGTTATAACCTCCCCATATATATTTTAATAACTAACGATAAATATACGTAGCATAAACATATGCATGTTATATGCAGTCAGTATTTTGTACGAGTACACGTTTTTCGGAAATATATATTCTCTACTTAATATTATCTTTCTACATAATAAAAACATATAATAAATGTTGCTATACCATTATAATTACTTCATTTATTTTATCAGACACCCGTAAAACATACATTATAGGTATATTATATATCTAGTGAAATATATTATGATAATAAAATTGTATTTGTATTCCGCATTTGTGTCATTTCTTACACTTTTCTCCCAAAAAAATCATCTGCGAAATTTCAAACGACGCGAGTACAGCTCAAAAAAATATTGCTCTTAATATTCTATCTAAATAAAGAAATATCTTCGAAATCTTGATTAAAGAAGATAAATAGAAAGATAAGAAAAATAAAATCTTACATATTTACGAGTAGTTGGTACGTTCTACCTTATTTCAATGAATTTTTCTTTCATAAGACAAAACAGCTTTTGTCATCATTCTTTTACTACCAGTTTTTTCATATAACTGACGTTTGGAAGAAACATTTTTTTCAAAATATTTTCTGTAGAACTACATATGGATTCGTAGTTTCTATAATTCTTCTGTTGTTATAACTACTTCCTTCATTTTTAACTTTTTTGATCTATCTACTTCGAAAAATGTAGGAACATATATCTACGTAATATACATATCTATTTCTTTCATTTGGATGAGATAGTCATTCTTTAATTCTGTTCTCTAAAATAATTCTTCATTTCATCCGCCTTTTTCATGTTATGATGCAGGGAATTAATTTTATAAAATACAGGGTCAGTCACAGAAGAGTTACTTTGAAAATTAATTACTTTGCAACCAAAAATACCTTTAGCGTATGTAACTGGATAAAATATTTTATTTAAATTAATTTAGTAATCAATGTGAGCTGGATAAAAATGAGTGAAGTAATAATGACAAGTAATTGTCTACTGCTTGAAGGCCTCTAATTTCATTTTCTGCGGGTCAGTACCAATCCTCTGTTGTTTTTTTGGGGGGCCAATCTTGTCGTAACTTGGCTTCTAGTTTTCTAAATCTTTCAGGAACCGGATGCATTCGATTTGAATACCTCTCCAAGTATAGAGCTGCTGCCGCAGGAGCATTTTTCTTGCATTCTCCATGGATTAAGAGCATGTCCATTCTTTCGTTAATTGTATAATAATACATTGTATTAAAGAAAATTGACTGTTACTTTTTAAATGCCAAAATGAAAAGATGCAAAGTATTCTTCCTAGAATACTATTTAAAAGGTTTCCGCACTTATCTTTTATGTCTGCATGTTGAAATATACGAAAAACACCAAAATGAAATAAAACTGTAAAAATGTCTACCTATATTTATACCAACAATAAAAACAAAAGTATATTTTTGATTATCGACTGAAGTGGAAAGTTAAAAGAAAAGAGAATCATGAAAATCAGAAGTTTTATTTAGAGGACGCTAAATGCGTTTGTTCTTTTGCTGTTAGTCTTTTTCTTCAATTTCTGCTTGACGTGTCAGAAAACTTACTTTTGATGAATAGTTGTCTATTGGTTGAAAATATCTTTGAACTTTTGGCAAATGCCAAAAATATTAAATCCACAAGGTCCAGTAAATCCAGATTTGTTTGTAGTATCGTTTCTTCGTTTTCTTCTTTAACATGGTCGAACTCATAAAAGTCATTGTATTTTATAGGATTCCTTCATTAACATTTCTTTTCCAGAATTGCAACATTCAAAAAATCCTTTCTAAAAAATGCATTTTCTTCATTTATAAATTGTGCTTTTTCACTTCAGAGTTATATTCTCCATGTTATCAAAGTAAGCTTCTTATTCACTTTTTATCATCTTCCGCTTATTTTTTTAGCTTTTATTGCACTTACATTTTAAGATATCCTCGTCTGTGTCTCCAGTTTTCCCCTTGACTTATTCTATCACATTAAAATGGACTTTCGTTAGCGAATATGAAACTGCATACGTTCGACACTGGACTGCGTTGAGTAGTTATCGACTGAGATCGTCGGCCTTGGAATATACTGATCTCTACCTGAATGCCACCACACACAAAAACCAGGTATAATACACCACGTGCTATTGCAACTATGTTTTTTGAGTTGAAATAGGTCACTTTTTTTTTTCTATGTAAAACAAGAATCTGTGTTTAACTGGACCCTTCTGACAAATTTAGAGCCAAAATCAAATATACTAAATTTTATTAGAAACCTTAAATACAATTGAGCGACTGTCGTTCTTCTATTTCTTCAAATTCTGCATCACTTAAGACTTGGGATAGTTTAGTTTTAACGAGAAGTTGTCTGTTGTTTGAAAACATTTTAAATCGTTTGGAAAAATCGAGAAACATTAAATCCACAAGGTCTAAATCTTGATTTGCATGTGGTAGTATTTCTTCTTCTTCCTCCTCCTTAACATGGTGCAACTGTTGGACATATGGGTCAGTTACTGTGTTTTCTTTTATATTTATAGGAACAGATTCTTCTGGAATCACAAAATCCAAAGGATCCTCTTGCAAAAAAATGGTATTTTCTTCACAACAAAACAATGTTTCTTGATTGCTGTAAACAGACATGTTTTTTAACGTTTTATTATAGCTATTTTAAAATTTTATTCACTTGTTTTTGTTATGTGGTGACTCCGATTTTCTTCTAACTAATCCCAATGCTTTAAAGAATTTTTTCCGGGCGTGCATACTGTAATTACAAAGTTGCATTTTTACAAAAATTAACAATTCTAATTTAACTTACATTTTGAACATCCTACGTTTACTTTTCCTCCTCGCAGAAAGACACTGTTTCGTCTTGTTCCCCATGATAGTTATCACTTTAAAAAATCAGCTTCGTTGTCCTATTGCGACAGACTTGATGGTTCCAATTTGAAAAAATTGTGTCAATTTATTAAGGAAAACTTTGTTGAAAGATAATGTTTTTCGTACGTCTCTGATACACGTCTGTATTATCGACTGGGTAGTCGGCGTGGCCTTGAAATGCTACTCTGACGATCTCTACCTGAATACCACAACACAGGCAAAAAGAAACGATGATGTGCAACTAATTATTACCATATTATTACTATTTATAATTCTGCTTCAGTTATAATTTAGAAAAGTTTTAAATGTGTCTGAACATTTAATAAACAATATCTACATTTTGATTATGTAAAATCAATGAGTCAAGAAGAATAATCTTTATACTCCTATATTTTTCAATCTACTGTTGTTTTCCCTTTTTTCATAACCTTTTCTTTAGCTCTGTTAATTATTTTCTATTTGAGAGCTATTTTATCACTTGTATTCATTTTTTGTCAACGCAAAGAATCAGGAAACTAGCTTATTTGCAAACTAAACGAAGATAGATACATACATACTATACATCTAATTTTTTTCCGAAATTGTTACTAAAGTTACATAAATCGTCAGTAAAGAGTCTAAAATGGGCACTGAACTAGTTCATTATACTATAATTTTGTTGGTTCTAAACAATAAGCCTTAAAAGATAAATCTTTCTTAACAATTGTTAAAAGAATGATAGAATATTAAAAATGGAATGTATTAGAGATTTGTCCTTTTCTTTTTTACTGAAAATATTACCCTTGAATTTAGTTTATTAGACATGTCTGTCTTGTATTTTTACTAGCTTCTTAAAAGCTCAAATTTTTGAATGTGTGGGGCGCTACTTACTCAGGCAGTAATAGGGTTATAATGAATAAATTTTTTGTTAGTTTAACTCTACCTCTAATGGCACATAAAAGATGAATTCTTGTCTTCATTCGTGCCGTAAACTATATAATTTTCTTTTTAAATAAAATATTTTTTTTTGCTTTTATTTACCTATATTACAATTTTAGTGACACATTGTCTAGAATGGCAAAAAGTTTTAGAAAGTACCTACTGTGTGAATACTTTTTTTAATTATACATGGCTAAGTCATTCAAGATGGCGCTCAGTTACGAATGCGCAGTGTGAGAAGCGGAGAAAACAAAATCGATTAAATTTTCCTCTCGTTATTTTCAGAGTTAATTCACTTTTTATCTTTAAGCAAACATTCGTCCAAAGAATGTGATTTAAGGAAGGTAGCAAGAATATTTTATAGAGACCCTTCTAAGTAGGGGAGTGAAAGAGGGGCACGTGCCTACGACCCTTTTCTACGTTGACGTAATTTATTGTAATATTATACAAAATCAGATTAGTCAAAGGGCAGGTGACGTTTGAAGGAATAACCATGACAAGTCGAATATATTCGTTAAGGAGATTATTAAGTCGAGTCGTAAAAGGAATAATTCACTCTAGTGAATTAACAATCAGTCATAAACTGCATTTGAAATGTCATTTGTACCGAATTAGCACCCTACGTGTCATTTTTTACCAAAAATTGAAACGATTCCTTTTGTTAAATCCTCAAACCCTAAACGCAAACTCCCAAATCCTCATATAAAACCGGAAGAAGGTCCGCAAAAAATTCCCTCCGGTTTTATTCCGGTCCGAACATAATTTTTAAACAGGACTGGTGAATTTGTTATTGACAAACTAATCACTGAAGGGAAGAAAAATACATCACGAAACGCTCCGAAACGGTCATTGACTGCTGACAGCTGCGCCTTTCCCATTTCAGTGCAATGATGCATTTCATCTATTATCTATGGATAAATTGAGGCATTTCACATGATTGTAATGACACATTACTGATTCTTTCTTATTATTTTTCAGGATGTCACTGGTGCTTCAATAGACCTATTCAAGCGCGAGTGCTGCTTAGTGTCAAGTTCAGAAAATTGTTTTATCGATATTTTTTCGATTTAGTGAACGTTGCCCTCAGGGGCTTAACCAATGATGATATTATTGGAAGTAAATTATCCTCGGATTGTGGCAAAAAACGTAAAAAAATACAAATAAGAAAAAAGATAATCATCGTTTAGAAAGACATTAAACTGGAAAAGTATTACATTTTAAAGCATTCTTGTAAACCATATTAAAAAATTTCAATTTTCTTCGAATTTATTAATCTTTTGTAAACAAAAAAGTAAACTCAAAAAAACATCTGTAAATATGATTTGTGCTCTTGATTGTTGCACTAATTCTGACTTTTAAGTTATTTTTTTACAGATATTCTAAATAAAGTTTTTGGAAATGGTTTTGGCTCTACATTAATGGTTTATATACAATATGTCCCCGGATTGAGTTTACAAGAGATATTTTCTTTTATCTTTGATTTTACGCTAAAACTGCAAAGGAAAAACATTTTTTGCTTCACCTGAAACGAACAAATCTGTATTTAAAACTTCATTATTCTGATTCAATGAAAAGAAATTTTTCTCTTGATTTTGGACTTAAAATAATTTTTCTCTTCTTTTTAAGTCCTATCTATCACATTGGCGGTTTTATTTATGTGACAACTATATGTCACTTTAACAATTAATTTATTAATTGAATAATGATAATTCTTGTTAGAAATGACTTTAAAAGCTCTTAAAGCTGTTTTTTTGAGTTGTCATTTATTAAAATTATGTTAATTAGCTTGCCTAAACTCAAAATGACATCGTTGTCAAATAAATAAAACCGCCAATGTTATGGGATTTAAAAAGCAGAGAAAAATTATCAAAATCAAAAGAAAAATTAACTTTTTTTCTATTGAGTTAGAATAATGAAGTTTTAATTATACAGGACGATTCAGATAAGATAATGAGCCTGACGATCTGGCGATGCAACCCAAAAAACAAATTTCATTTACGTTTTGATCTAATTTAAATTACGATTTGCATTTGCAATCCAAGTTATCTTATGTTGCTCTGATAGTGCTTTGACAAGCAATTTATGATTTATAAAAAAAACTGTTTGCCTACCTTTAATGTTTCATTGTTTCATACATTTTTTATTGGGTTTACACCGCAAAGACTTCTCTAATTTCTCTATCATTCCGCGAGAACAGAATGACACTAATAATCGTTCTCTGCACTGATGTCAGAGTGACACAAGATGATAACTTGGATTCAACTTGCAAATCCTAATTGAAATTGGATCAAAGGCGTAAATGAAATTTGTTTTTTGGGTTGCATCGTCAGATCGTCAGGCTCATTATCTTATCTGAATCGCCCTGTAGATTTGCTCGTTTCAGGTAAAACAAAAAATGTTTTTCTTTTGCAGTTTTGGCGTAAAATCAAAGATAATTTTTTTTCCTCTTGTAAACTCAATCCGTGGACGTACTGTACATACAGCACTTTTATCCTTTTATGAGTAAAAAATTAACAAAATGTTTAGTACATGGTTGAACTTCGGACTGAATGTAGAACCATAAACCAGTTCCAAAAATATTTACTGTATTTTTGTCTAATATAAAATTAATTATTACTACTAGAACTCGTGCTACACCTTTATAACACGAAACTGGATTCCCTGCCATTTTTAGTATAGTATAAATCTAAACCATTTAGAAAACTATTTACCGGAATATTTTACTACATTTTAGTACAGTACTAAAAATAAAAAAAAACACTTTTTTTTCTAGAGCAAACAAGTTTATAAAAATAAATGGATGGCTGGCGGAATGCAGAATGACTAGAATAGTACCTAAACCATTTCTAAAACCACATTTATTTATTTTTTATAATCATAAGAATAACGAGTTAGTTAAGTTTTAAACCATTTGCAAAACCATTTTCTTGGATTAAAGGTAAGTTGAAAGAAAGAAAATGAAAAAAAAATATGCTATGAAAAGAATCTAACGTAACAAAATTTTTATAGGGTCTAGTGATAAAACTTATTAAAACATGTTTTGTCAACCAAGTTTACATCATCAATTTGAAATTTATTCCGAACTTTCAGCATTAAATTAAATATCTTAACGATAATAATCAATCAAGAGGAGGTAATAATTTTTGTTTTGATTTATTTAGAGCCTACCGTCGCCTATTCTAAAATCTTTTACCCTTCGACTCCATCTAAATAAAAAAATAATGTCACCCCAACCCTCGGTTGTCTCATAAAGTTTGCAAACCTCGTTGCAACCACACCCCGTGCATTGTCTCTTCTAAACTCCAAGAACTTTTATTTTTAACATTGATTCAAAAATCGCCTTTTTCTATCGGCTTTTCCGCCAACTTTTAGGTGTATGCAAATCTCTGGTCTGTCTCACCGACGGATGCTTTAAATGGCACTTTTCCAACATATAATTCAGACAACAGTTTAATGAAAAGTCTCGCCGTGTTGCAGCAGGGGAACGGTTCCCATGACGACGCTGCAGCCGGGTTTGCTCTGGGGTTGCTCGGTCTGGGGCTGTTCAAGCTGGGGGTGGCTTTGCAATGGGGTGGCTCAGTCGTTGCCCTTCTATTCCTATTCTAATCTAACGGCGCGTTTTCGATGCGTCGCGATTACAGGGAGATTTTTGACCTTGCCACCGGGAAGCAGTCGTGAGAAAAAATTTCTTGTGCCTTTGAGACACAGCCTCTTGAGGTTTAATTCAGCCGAAAATTACTATTTAGTGTAAATTGAGGGGATGTTGCTGGCGCTAACGATTCGTATTTGCAAATAACAATAAGCTTCTACGTGATCAAATAAAAATCGGATGTGCCACAGGAAAAGTCATAAAAAGGCACAAAAGTGGCCTCGTAAAAAAACGAAAAAAACTTTACCAGTGCTTGCCAGCGGTTTATTATAACTTAGGCCGGCGAAAAATGTACTTCTGCGCCAGATTAAGAAAGGGAATTTTGGGGATAGCTAGTTTATGGATTAGGAAGCTATTTTAATCCCCTAGACTCAAATTATTTACATAGTCATTTGAATTTAATTGCCTTTCATTATACAATTTTCCATAATCTCTCCATTTATCTTCTTAGGGCTTGAGTTTTTGTTTAACAACCAAAAAAAAGATATATGACTTTTACAAATTATTGACACCGTTAGTAACCTAAAAATGATATATTTCAGCACCCAATTAAGTGCTTTAATAGTTTTATTGTTTGATTTGCTGCCCAAAGCGGAAGTGTTTGTTGGGACATTTGATATTT